GAAGTCATGGAAATCGCGTTCACAGGACACGACTTAGAAGGTGTGGATCTGCTCCCAGGAGAACGACTTCTTGACTTAGAGTATGCTGATGATATTCCCCTGATCTGTGACAGCTCACAAACGTGCCAAGCGGCACTGTACTGATTAGCACTAGCTGTCCGTCACTTCGGGCTTTGCTTCGCACCCTCGAAGTGCAAAGCGTTCCTCCAAGATTGGTCTGGACCGCCTCTTATGCTGACCCTTGGTGGGGATCAGCTAGAAGTCGTTCAAAAATTCAACTACCTGGGACGTTGTATCAGCGCCCGTGGGATTGAAGATGAGATCACCATTCGTATGGCAAAAGCTCGGGGCGCTTTTGATAATCTTCGTTACCTATGGCGCCGGCGCGTCATCACACTTGCCCTGAAGGGTAGTGTACAATACAGCAGTACGTTCGACCCTACTGTACGGTTGTGAAACCTGGCCGCTTAAAGCAGCGGACCTGAATAGGCTAGTTACGTTCGACCACCCGTACCTTCGCAATTTAGCTCACATCTGGTGGGAACACCGCGTGAGCAACGAGCGTGTTCGACGCGTTGTTTACGGCACAGGGAAAGGAAATGAACCGCTCAACACCGTTATTTCACGCATTAGGCGCCGATGGCTCGGCCACGTGTTACGCAAGCCAGCCCACCGACTCCCGCGACGTGCGTTGTTTGCGCGCCGCGGGTGTGGATGGAAGATGAGGAGGGTTGGCCAAGCGATGATTTGGTGGAGAGGAATGAAGGCCCTCACTTCTGAGCTGGCCTCGGTTGGAGCGTCTCGGCTCCCCGGTTGGGGTCCGAAAGACGAACACGTTTCGTTGGACAAACTTGTTGATATGGCTAGGAGCCGACCTAAGTGGCGTTCGTGCTGTGAGTTTCTTTGTCCCACCCCATCCCTCTTAGCCTCCCCCTCCAACCACGATCTCATTATTTAGCCTTATGTAATTTTGCATAGTAATATTTTTGGTGCACAGCATCCGGCTGGTAGCTTACCGGAACGATGCCCATCCGTTACCGGTAGCTCAGCTAGCTTGCACCAGTTGCATTTTTCTCCTTTTTTTCCATGTATTGCGGCACAGCAGCTAAGGTGTTCCCCACCTCTAGCTAACGTGTATGATGATGATGATGATGTACGCCGTAACGGCGCTTCGCTGCCGCGCGACCACCACCAGTCGCGCGCGGGCTGAGTATACTGCGAGGACGCCCACCCCTACGCGGATTCGAACCGGTGACCTTACGGTTGCAAAGCGAACGTGCAGACCATTCGGCCACCGGACGACTGCTGGCGAGACCCAATAAGTCGAAACAATCCTCTGGTGCTTCTCCGGCCATATGAAAGACTAGCTGATTTGGAAGCTACTACGAAGACATTCGCGACAATTTACATCCAAAATGTTCTACTTATGAGTATGTCCTATGAGCGTTGCAGAGACAGAGTAGGGTAGAATAAAATCGCGCGCTTATTATTAACAGAGCTGACAAATAGTGCAGGGTCGAAAAAACATGTGCGACATGGCATTCTTGATGTGAAGATCGATTCAGCGGCATCGACATTACTAGCTGAGGTATAAGTGGTTGTTTCTGTCTGAATAACCTACGAAAAATACGGTAGTAGGATGGAGTCCCGTAGATTGATGATATCTTTCGGTAGCTCAAGTCAAGAGACCGAGCTTGTTCAAGGTTCTCTAACTCTGGTCTCACGGTCTACAGAACGAATCACAAGACTGGGTAGCACGTCCTGAACGGGAGGGACTGCAGGATTCCACGGATCTGCTTGAGTACGGTTGCCCGAAGCCCTGGAAAATTCCGAGATGCACACGAATGTAAGTGGATAAATCGGGTCTGATGAGGTTGATAAATGCTGTACCGTTATATATAGGCGGGAGAGCCTATGGTGCGCTGAGGCTGGTGGTGGCTAGATCCTGACAGATGGTCTACCCACTACTGCTACTGCTGCGCCATAGTCTCATGTCCTGGGCGCCTCCACGTGGCGACCGCTGGGTGGGAGTTGGGTTTCGCCCTTTTCCCTGCTAAGATCCAGGACACCAATCCGCATGAGTCGGCTAACTGACCATGTGCTAGACTCGCTGCCTTTCGGGCGTTCATTTAATCGAAGGCTTTGGCTGAGGACCCGAGTCGTTCTCCTGTCAGGATTGGGCGCCCTGGCAGTATCCTAGTCCATCCTCTCCGGAGGTTAGGAAGTGGTCGATGGCCCTCTTCCCGTAAAACCTAGCCATGGGAGACAACAGGTTTACGGGTTATATTCTCAGCTCGATTGGCGTAGAGCACGAGGGCCACGCATTGTCTCTGACAGTGGGAGGACACCTCCGGGTGTTCAATGGTTTGCTACTGCCCGCCTCAAGCCAGGCAGCCCCTGGTCAAATTGGTGCAAACCCGCCAAAAACCCACCTGCGTCTGGCCGTGGTCGCAGCCGCGTATCCGATTACGGTCGCAAAACATATGATAATTGTTCCAGTACCTCAAAGGCTGCGTGTGACGGCCGTCAAGCAGATCCCAATCTGTCTCTGCAATCACATTCCAGAGCTGGATCTGCTCTCCACTGCCTTGTGGGTCAGGCTATTGAGCCAAAGGCTCCGGGCGGAGTCCCTCAAGCAAACCTCCAAACCACCCACTGCCTTGTGGGTCAGGCTATTGGACCAAAGGCTCCGGGTGGAATCCCTCAAGCAAACCTCCAAACCACCCACTGCCTTGTGGGTCAGGCTATTGAGCCAAAGGCTCCGGGTGGAGTCCCTCAAGCAAACCCCCGAAGCACAACGACCACCTCGCGTGCGATTGCCCACCAATGCAATCGTATGCCTGCGCGCAAAGCACTCAGCATCGGGTGCTGGAACGTGCGCACACTACTGGACCGGAACTCGAGCGAGCGCCCGGAGCGACGCACTGCACTGGTCGCAATGGAGCTGGCGCGCTACCACATCGATATTGCGGCGCTCAGTGAAACTCGGCTCGCTGAGCAAGGTAAGTTACATGAAGCAGATGCTGGCTACACATTCTATTGGGTGGGGAACGCCGCCTCAGCACCACGTGAACATGGGGTCGGATTTGCAATATCCGACCGCCTGAATGGCCAGCTTGTGGGTGAACCAACGGGCATCAGCGCGCGACTGATGACTGTTCGCCTACGACTCGGAAAAGGTAAGTTTGCTACTTTTATAAGCACGTACGGTCCGACCATGAGTTATCCTGATGACACGCGTGATCAGTTCTACACTGAGCTATCCTCCGTGATACGGTCTGTGCCGAGGAGCGACCGACTATTTCTGCTGGGTGATTTCAACGCGGCCGTCCCAACCTCTCCCGAATCTAGCCCGCCGCCTCCCACGACCAATCGCCGTGGTCGGGAGGTGCGTAAGCCCGTCCGCTTCTCCGACTATGTACAGTGTAAATACTTTTAACTTTGTAGATATGGTATATATTTGCTTCATTTTTGGTCGATTAACGTTTTGAAAACAAACAAAAATAACGAAAAACCCCGAAAAACCTTTTACAAAAAAATATTCAAAAACCAAAAAATATTTAAACACGTAGCTCATTCGTTTGTGCTTTTTGGCGTTTTCTGCGCGTGTCTTTCTATCTTCTCGTTTTTACATGCTCCAACCCTCCCCTTCGATCGACTGGCCCACACGAGGAATGTGTTTCGAGGACCCTGACGCGAACACTGGTCGCTTCTCCGCGGGACGAGGATCGCTTCTCCGCGGGACGAGGATCGCTTCTTCGCGGGACGAGGATCGCTTCTCCGCGAGACGAGGGTCGCTCCTCCGTGGGACCATGGGTCGTTTTCTTCGTGGGACGAGGGTCGTTTTGGCGCGGGGCGGGGTGCGGCGGGGGGAGAGACTACTCCCAAGCGCACCGTTTGGCAGCAGCGGAGGTTGAGGTCCTGTCGGCCTTTTTCTGGGCTAGCCAGTTTTTTTGTAGTCCGACAAGCCCGCTCCAACGGCTCGCCGAAATGCACCCTGCCCTGCATTCAATAAATAACGAATCATATACGGCACAGCGGACTCCGACTTCCGACGAACCCCCATTCACACGAAGGCTCATTCATTTTTACTCGGCACGATTTCGCCTTACGAACCTGGTTTCAACATTCCTTTTCGATTTCGAAGGCTTTCTATGTTCAGCCTTCTAGGGGGGGAGCTCTGTAGCGCCCAAAAAGATAACTCTTATCTTTCGTGCACAATTTACTTGTTGACCGATTGTACATTACTCCTTCTTGTTTTAATCTTACAACCGGCTCGACACACAACTGCTTTGTAAGTTCCCGCGCTCACGTGTACGCTCTTGCCTCGCTTCATCCGTCCGTTTCTTGTTGTAGTCCATCGAATACAGTCCGCTGTGTCCGACTCCAATTGCCTTCTGATATCCGCGCTTAATTCCGCGCATCGTCTCGGACTAGTATTAACTAGTCCTACAATCCTTAATCATCTATTGCAGCAATTTAAGCAGCACGCTGGTTAGACTAGCGGGCTTGTAATTTATTGGAAGGCGCGTACTGCCCATTTTACAAAACGGGGAAAAAAATAGCTTTCTTCCAGTCAGTAGGTAAAGCGCAACTGGCAAGACTTTTCGAACAAGCGCGACAGGGATTTACAAACTTCATTAAAAGTTCGTATAGAAAGTTCGGATGAATGGCCTCGATACCAGCGGCTTTGGTAGGATTTATATCTAGCAAAGTGAAAGGAGGGCATCTAATATGGAGATATCGGTCAATAAGGAGTCAGACAAAACTTTCCCTAAATCGATAGTTGATAACGGCGATTCTGGGACAAACGTTCTTGCATACTGTTCGCGGAGAAGACAGACCGTCGTAATCGGTGTGTAGGCAAATCACGCTACTATATAGTGTAATACTTATGAATGTTAAGTCGTATCTTTTCATGCTTTCTACATAGGCGAGGAACGGAAAAAGCGCTGGAATGGGACAGGGACGTGCACAACCTGATTAAGCGGCAAGCTTACGTGAAGAACGTGGTTCAGGATAAAGCTTCGAAGCTTGTGTTTGTTTGACGCCGTTTTCCACTCCAGCAAGCCGCTTGAGGATTCTACAGTATAAGCAGATACTAATAGAAACATACCGAAGGATGTCTTCTTTGTTCTTCAGATCAGAGCTCGACTTAGAAAATTGGGACAAAGCTTTGGAGGCACAATTAATAGCGGCCTGATCATCCTGTTTCTAAAAAGCAAGACGTAAATTGAATGGTCTTTTGGAAACGAAACCCACATCTGGCTTCACGTAATTATAAGGGACGCACCCTACTGTGCCGTCCAATTTGGATGCAAGATACCAGAATTCATTTTCCTCCCGGATTTTCAAAAAAAGTTCGTTTGGTTCAAATTTTAAGCAACCAGGAAAAGGCCCACTATAGGGGTACAGAGACCTTAAGAACACAAAACAACCGGAGGACATCGCGCAACGGAGATATGCTATATTGCGTGACCCATTACTCACGGAGAACCGAAACGGTGAAATAAAGAACGTCTCACGAACCGCCCCTGGGTACAGCCATTCATGGGTTCATAGGATTGTAGAGAGCAGGAGAAATCCTTTGTCAGCTCCATCGCTTCCCGATCAGTGTGTGGAGACCGCGATTCGATGTTATTCGATGTTATGCCATTGAGTACATCCGACATGGGTGAATAAGAGGAGTGGAATGAACAAGGGTTGGCGTGTAAAAATGGAGTTATTAAAACCTTAAAAACTGCGGAAGGATACAATATGTGGTGATGTTTATGGTGACGGCATCAGAAATGATACTAAAGATAAAAAGGAGGCTTCTGTGTGATCCCCTAGACGCTCGTTAGGGAAAAACAAGGTGAATAATTTCGTAACTGTTATAATGTGGTGTGTAATGTAATGTATTGCTAGGTTATTAAGGTGCACAATGCAACTGCTATGGAAATGGAGATTTGAACTCCATAGTTCATTCATTTCTTTACAGGTGTTGAATAAAACATATATTGCGACCCGACAAACCTAATTTAAATGGGTTTCACGAACTGATTTCATGCGTAATTTGAAATATATGCGAATACATATTCTGCGTAGAAATGTATAGTTGTTAGATATGCAAAATATGACAAAAAGTGGTTTTATAACGTAATTAAAAGGAAACGAAAAGCGCTATCACCATATTGCATTTCTTCAATCCATTGATCAGTTTATAGCGCGTAGATCGTACGCTATATATCCGGTACGCGACTAGACGGCCAACCAACAATAATGGATAGAAGACACAACAGTAAGCTAGGGAAAAGTTTATTGGACGGGAGGAGCGTTAGCTAATGCTAAAAATAGGGCACCCGGAGAGAGCTAGCTAGGGAGAATGTCGATGGCGTCGAGTGCGTTGACAGAGCGTCGTTCGCAATCGAGTCGCGCGCGCCAAAGGCCAAGATGGCGTTCGTGTTTTCAACAAACGGGAACAACGTTCCAACAGGCAAACCGAATGGTTCCCTAATACATAAGAAAGCTATAATTTGAATATTTTAGAATAGTTTACACAGTCATACGGGGGAATCTCCAGGTCGCTACAAGTTTTATGGCGAGCAGTTTACGATGTACGTGGTTGTTGTCCTCAAGAAAGATAATAGATTACGGTGAATAAAGTAACTGAATATACTCAATGAGTACAAAAAATCAGCTTGTTTTTGGCGGTGTGTTTTGTTTGTGTAATAAAGGAAGAATGGTTTAAATGGAATGCCAATGATAAAGCACATGTGACGGAAGAGCAGAGTAATGGTATACCTGTAAATGAGCTTAGCATGACCTGACTGCTGTTTGGGATACTGAGAAGCTAAATCGGGAAGCATGCGGAAACAATGAAGTATATGTAAGTCCTGTTCGTAAAACGTTGGTGCATGAATGTGGATCGGTGCATTGTGGAGCATTATGCTGTCTTAAACTGTGAATAACGCGATTGGTGGTATACTAAAAGGATTCAGTGTTGTTGGACGAAGTTTTGGCTGGTTACCACGCAACGGTATGTGTTAGGAGTTATAATTTTAAACGCTTTATATATACATAAATATACTGGATGTAAATAGGTAATGAAAATTACTTACCACGTGATTATTAAAATCATGATGCCGTTACCGTTTACTTGCCCCATAAGCTGTATTAGCCCATGTTCGCTGCTCCTCAGCGGGAATAGTTTATCACGTGAGAGAATCGCTGTAGGAAGTCAGCTGGTTAACCGTTGGGTTGTAACGAACGAGCGAAACTAGGTTGGCGCGTGGTGGAATTTGAATCGTTGCTTTGACGACACCCTTTCCCTCTGCCATTCACAACGTCATTCCCGCTCAATTACTGAAGAAGAACAAGAACCTGAGGCGAACAGTTAACTGTAACTTTTCTTTCACCCCATGCTATGTTACATTGATTCTTATAGAGCCTATGTGTTGCGTACTGGACGTTCCTTCTCTATCCCTGGAATCCTCCTTTGTCTTTATGTTATAGTTTGTCATTTCACGTGTTTAATAGTTCACTCCTCTCCATCTTCTGGCCCGGTGTTCAATGTAGCTGCAATCGTTATCAGACCGTTCATGTATTCACATGGATTACTTCATATGTTGATAGGTATGACCTTACACACTGGAATATTGTGGATATGCCGGGGATTACGGAGGCAAATCAGGGTGTTTGCAAAGGCTCTGTATGGTCTACCTTATAGTTGATCCCCATAAATAAGACCAACTACTCTGCAATAAACGAATCAGACCTGCTAATCCTCCCACCCGATATGTTGTCGGCGGTGATGAATTCCCTGTTGTCACTCAGCACGTTGTTTTCGGTGTCGTGCACGCATCCGCACTTTATTCTGAGGACGAATGAAAGAAGGCAGCTGGTCCGAGGTGTTCCGTATAAGATTGTTTATCTGCACGCTTTTGTAATCCCAACGGCCAAACTGTTTGTGAAGCTATTCTCGGCAATCGTCCGACCGCACCTAGAATATTGCATCCATGTTTGTCAGAACGCTTGCTACGAATAGGGATGTGCCGCATGCACTACGGAAGGAGAAGAGGAGACGTGATTCTCACTTATCGTACTTTGACGGGTAAGGGCGGCACGGACTTGTCAGGACTATTTAGTCCATCTACATTCCCTAATGTCCGCGGTCACCCAGCGGTAAACGTCGCCGCATATTATTGGGTTACCATAGGGTATAGGATCAGGGTGTCATTGTTAGGTTTTTGATACGTTAGACCTCGTGAACCCCCAGAGGGACTCGGTGTACAAGCCTCCACACAGTGTGGGGGTGTTGTCGCGCAGCAGCTGTATATGGCGTCAGAGGCATATAATCCAGTAGGTACACAGAAGAAGCAGGGAATGGAACAAGTCTTCCGCAACCCTTCACCAACAGCTTTCTTCTAACAATAGCGATGCCACGTTTAGGTAATGTGGTATCTAACCGAAAGAAATCTAGAGAAGCCAAGACCATAAAACGGTGCCCGAAGGTACGAGCCCTAAATCACCTTGTGTAAGCCAAAAGGATAGCTTACTGGCGGTCAATGTAACGTTAGTTAGCCCAGTCGCCTGGGGTGGTCATTTAAGAAAGAGTATCTGGAAGCTGTAAGAAAGGAAACCATAAGCTCTTCAGTCCCCGGCAAAGTGCTCACGCACGCATGGTTGGCGTCATTCACTCACCCTTACGCGGTGGATCACTAAGTGACTGGGAGGTAAGGTGACCTCGGAAATGCAGTGTGAGTGCAAGGAATGCGTTTACCAGCGACGGTACGTCAAGCGTACTTATTACTTTTTCCATACCTGTTATCCTGGTGCTTGGCAAAGCACAACGGTTCTTCAGGTTGGTTAGAAGTTGAAGTTGAGATAAATGAACCTAGGAGAGAATGTTTGTCATTACAACGCTGCAGAATTGCGGGCGCTTCTGATGTCCTCAGGTACATCTGACCACCCTTATCATGTGTGAGCCCGATGGCGAGGTAGGCATACGTGCCGTAACCGTCAATTGGGGGAGGCATGGCATATGGGAGTAGCGGGTGTACCTAAATATCAAGCGGAAACAACGGGGTGGTAACAAGGAACGAAAGCAAACAAGAAAAAGGAGGACTTACAAACACCAATGGCTGAGGAAATGCTCCTGTCCGTTGTACGACGCGCACAGCTGATGATACTAAAGGCCGCAGTCGGAGCATATGACCCAGTCAACCACCTGTCCGCTCTGTGCCTCTGTCTGCTTGAAGGCACAAAGCGCAATTGCCATTGTCGTAATTGGCTGGAAGTTATGCATGGCAACGAAGCTTCCTTAGAGGCTTATACACCCTAGCGCTGGTGGTGTTCAAATTGCTGGAACGAAGTGGGTTCCTTTCTTCTTCCTGATCGACGGAGGCATCTGGGGCGGGCGTTAGGAGTTGCTTACGGTTTGTGCCGATCCTGGTATGTTCAACCATCCCTGCTGCTTCTGATTCATTTATGGTTCCGGAGTCGGAAACCTCAGCGTCTTCGTGATGACTACTTAGGTTGTGTGAAAACGCCCGCAAATAATCCATTCTCTCGCTATACTTTGCATTGTCAAGGCCACCAACCCGCACCTGAATAGCACCAAACACCTGACTGCCTTCGCGAAGCTTCTGCGCCCTAGTTACCGGCGCAACTGTGTAACTCGAGGGCAGCGGAACGACGGCGGACGCAGTAAACAGAAACGGCACAAGTCCATGCGCGTAGAGGGGGACACGGTTTGAATAGCATGGACCTGGTCCATGCACTTAGAAACCACCACTTTCCCTACCATCTCAGCCGCTAGTACCACGCGGCGCATGTTGCGTCCGGCGTTCACATATGATGCGGTTGTCTCATTCGGAAGCAATGCGTAGAAAAAGGAACGCCCTCTACCATATACCTCCACCAACATGCAGTGCCACATTATGTAGCCACTGCAGTGCATCTGGTGTGTCGCATCTGCCAGCATTACCTCACTGTAAAGCTCCACGAGATCAAGTACGTACCAGGGGAGGAAAACTAAGAACCGTATCTCCGATTCCTCATACGCCACATTACACTGATCGACGCTCTCCAGAAACTATACCGCAGCTTCTGTAGCGTTTATAAATTCTTCACATTTTTCCTTGTTACTTCCTATTCTATTTCCTGTCATTTTTTGTATTTTTCTTTTAACTCACACACCAACATGTATTCGCCTCTTCGAAGGTCGTTCGTCTTCTGGGTTCCATGACCCTATGCCGCATTCGAGTCTTGGGTGTGCTTCGCATCGATCCTCGGAGCACTATTTACGAGCAGCGTTCGCTTCCTGCGTTAGTGCCATCGGGTTGGTTTGCCGAGTTTTACTTATTGTAACCTGACGGTGAGCAATCCTGAGAAGCTCCTATTCGTTGTAAAACTTCAGCGGTTATAACTCTCTGTCAGGCACTATAGTTCCACTGCGTTGCCGTCCACCTTGCCCCTCATCTTTTGTCTTATGGTCCGTAGGTCGTAACAGTTCGATCTTCTACGGTAGAGCGTGAACGCATACTTCCTGAACTCGCGTTTGTCCTTAAACTACCGCATCATAGGAAGACGTTCACTTCCGCGTGTCGCGACAGCCGTCTATTGCTCACCTAGAAAAACGGCTTTCCTACATGCACAAGGTTGAACGATACCATGTCGT